TGACATGGAGGGTAGTATGGTATGTTCTGATGAATGGCGTTTTGGCTGCAAAAATTTGTTTGTATGCTGCTGAAGAAGCTGCATACCTTCCCTTTGGGCAGAGTCAAAAATCCAAGTACTACCTGGATTTGATAATCAATCATCTCAGTGCAGGGGATATATGGAGAAGGTTTGATGGTATGAAGGTAGTATGGAGTAGGCTGTTGGTGAGAAAGTTGGCTGTAGGATAGGTGTCTTCTCCTCAATGGATGTTGTTTGCTTTTCTATCATGCAGAGCTACCATATATCCCAAGCACTACGTACCAAGACTGTCATCATCAAACTTTTTCTTGGCTTTGCTGTTGGAGTTTTATGGCAAAGGGTAGCTGTTTCAGGCCTGTTGCAGGGGGAGTTTTCCTGGTTTTGCAGCTGTATATGAGACCTAGGATCCATCTCTTGCCTTTCATCTTCACTATCTGAAGAATGCAACAATCTCCAAGCTATTGAAGAGCTTCTCCGTGGGGTTTGTGCTGCATACAATGCAATCATCTTGATTCTCTCCTTCCCTACTTAATTTATACTTTTGCAAGGCTTGTTATGTCCTCATGTTAGTAGCTAAGTTACTAGTCTACTGGCTCTATATTTGGGTTTTGTTTCTGTATTTCATGGCAGGTGTTTTCTGTAAGACTTTGACTTATAATTAATATTGGTATAGATTGTGTTTTGGGCAAAAAAAAAAGAAAAAAAAAAAATCAACAATCTTATCATTCAGCGCGTTTGGTTTCTTGTTTCTTTTTTCTTTTCTTCTCTTTGGGCTGGCCAAACGTGTTGAATGCATGTGGGGTCACGATCATCTACCGTCGCTGCTGTTAAGGCAGAAATCACGGGCGGAGAAAGGCAAAAACCCTTCTTAAGCCCCTCAACTTTTTCGACAGCAAGTGATAAGCCCCTGAACTAAAACTGATGCGAATAAGCCCTCCAACCCCCCGTTTGAAGCAAATAAGCCCCTCCGTTAACGAGCCCCTCAACGTCGTTTGTTTAATGGCTTGCATGGCATTTAATTTACACGTTGCATCCAATAAATCGATCCAAAAGTCTTTTTCCTCTAGATCTTAGTTTTTTCTCTTCTTTACCTGAACTAGATCTGGGTTCCTCACCATCACACGATGATTGAGAGAGGAATGACTTTTGTCTCTTTCACTTTGTTCCTCATTAGATCTTCTTTCCCACGATGATTGAGCGAGCAATGGGTTCTTTAGAAGATCAAATTTTTGTCAATTTCTCGAAGGTTGAGATTTTGGCGTTTACTTTTTGTTGTTTTGCATGTTTCCTGTTCGATGGTTTTCATTTGATCTGTTACCTTGATTTGGGTTTCGCTCTTTTTTTCATTTATTCTTTCTTGACTTCGCCATTGTTAGCCTAGTGTTTGAATGGATCTAGGGTTCTGCAAGTTGTTGAACTTGGATTTCAAGGAGAAAGTTTGTGGAGGAGAGACAAAATTGCATTTGTATATGTTCAAGGTATTGACAATAAATTTGAATCTGATTTCTTTTATTTTCTCTTACTTTAATCTAGGTTTCCTTTTTTTTTTTTTTTCATTTGTTCTTCTGTCGCCATTGTTGGTTTGGGAACTAGATCTAGATCTAAGGTTTCTGGTTTAGTAGCCCAATTGTGGCATCAGTGGAGGGGAGAGGCGATATTGATTCTTTGAGAACAAATTTGAATTGAAATTGTAAAGGAATGAGGAGAACAAATTCGCAAGGAAGATTTAATTTTGTAGAGGATGGAAAGAATAACAATTTTGGTTCAAAACTGGAAAAAAAAAATTGAGAAGAAGATTTTGTCATGACAATTAAATTTACAATTAAAAATAGAGAATGAATCAATTAATTAATAAATTAAATAAAAAAATTTATGATTTATGGTAAAGTTTTTGTAATAATAATTAAATCTGTAATTTAATTGAAGAATTAAATATGTAATTTAATTGAAGAATGAATCAATTATTCATAAATCAAGGAATAATAAATTTAATTAAAGCAAATGGATTGATTATATTTCAATAAAATGCTATCTCATTAAAAAAAATTTTAAATGTATAATTTTAGTTTCCATGTTAGCATTAAAAATTAATGAAAAAAATTATTACCAAAAAAAAAGTACCACACTAGTGCTTAGTTGACAAAATGAACTAAAATAGTTAAAAGGAAAAATTTTAGAGATTACAAAATGTATTTATGAAGTATAGAGATTAAATTTAGGTATTAACTTTCTTTGTTTAGGCTGAATAATTTCTCTTCACGAACT